AAAAGCGCGAAAGTGAGAGCAATATCGCCGTTTGAAATCAAGCGGTCTACTACGACTGTTTGTGACTAGACGACCAACAAAAACAAGAGAGAGGGGAAACTATGAAAAGCGCCTACGAAAAGCACTCTATTATGATTTTATCAAGTGATGATGCTAAAAAAATTTGGCATACCAGCCAGTGAAGGAACAGACAAAAATATCACAGACTGTTTCTACTTACAGAACTCACCGGATTGTATCATTTTTGTCAATGCGCAGTTCAGCCGTCTCACCTTCATATGCGTATTCCCAGATCCAAGCACCTTGTTCAAAGTCACTAAAAGAAATCGGTGTCATAGTTTGATTGAAAAAAACTTACAATCGAGAGGGATGTCGCAGCTTATCCGCAGGGATGTAGATGTCATCGAAAAAATTAATGGAGACACGAATCCCGGATTTCGTACAAGATTTAACAGTTCCCAGTAACACCTCGTCGATAGATGGTCGGAAACAAGCGAACCGGAAGCTCACTGAAGTCCAGGTGTTAGAACTACGGGAAATGAGCAGAACACAGACCTTGCGTGTGATAAGCACCGTCTACGTCGGAGATGAAACTCTCGTGGATTTTCAATATATCCCATAAAGAGATACACAGTCCAACTTTGTATATCAACTACGGAAGAAGAGAGAATCGGAAATCGCGACAGGAGGTGGAGTGAAAGGAGAATCAAGAGCGATTTGGAACAGGAAAATATGCTAGGTCATTGAGGAAGCGGCACTGCATCTTTCGAATTATGTCTTTGGAATCAGAGTAAGCATGAATATACAAGCAATAAAATAAAATGCTTCAATGCGTAATGCTGAGAAATGAGGTATTCAAGGATGTGGTGGTGGGCGATTCTCTTCTTTGTTGCCTTACCGTGATGAGTTGCAGCATGGCTCTGTAGTTGAACGGTGCAAAGCACATACTGCATGTGGCGAAGACATTTGGTAGTCTATCAAATGCGTTTTGCCTGTCCTCTATAAATTCGAATAGGCAGACTATGTGATCGTTTTATGCTTCTTTCTTTTTAATGTTTATTTCCTTTTGTTGAATTACACAATGAGATAAAAAATTTTCAGGAAGGGGGAAGCGGCTAATGAAAGGGCTGCCACACAACACAATGAGGAAAGTCAGTGTATTCTAAATCACAGTTATTCTCCAGCTGTTGTCTACTGTGAATAGTCTGCCCAATTTTGTCACAGATTGTTTAACCAACTGGAGTTCGCCGACCTCCAGTGTTGTGTCAGTTGTGCAGTCCTGTAACAATCTTCGTCCATTCCCGGTTGCAGTGGTCAATTCTATTTCAGGCTATTTTGGTCCAACAGTTTTCATAGTTCTTTTTGAGCACACGTTTCAGAAGCCACTTTCACCTATTTTTATCCTATGAAGTGTCGGGAGATTTTGTTTTTTTCCTCCATCTGGACTATGGAATTGGCGCGACATCGGACGAACTTCGGGATGAGACTCACAAGCAACGTTTGTTACGGAGTGCATTGCTCATCTAACCTGATTCTATTGTTCATCTACACTACCCCGCTGCAGCGCGTCTAGTTCATGCCCTGGCACTGATTTATAGCGTGCACAAAGGGCTAACAGAGATTGCTCGTTCTGTCAGTAACCAGTGAGTTAGAGTGTGAATCGCATCAAAAATAATGCGTGGTCAAACTCAGCACACGTGGTTCAATAGGATTGGCAATTTTATACTGAACCCCACCAACGAAGTTCACTGCTATGTGATCAATTTGAGTCTTCGTGTTACTTGAATTGGTGCACCCCTTTGTCGTCTGTCAACTCAGTAGTAGCTTTATGCACCCGAGAGACAGAGAGCCATATCGGTACTTCACAAAAACAGACGGTTGTCTGCGCAGAATTGAACAAGTCGATCACCGTTATTTGTGATGGCAGGGGAGGGGAGGACGTGACACAAAGACTACCTAGGAGAGCCTCTGATAAGCATTGTCTTCCAAACAGCGCGTCCTTCGACTGGCTGCGCTACGTTTTCTATGCTCGTCATCTCACTGCATTTCATGATTATCTCGATGCTCAACATGTTCCGGACCCATACCTAATCTCGTCAGGATATGCTTAGATTGCAATCTGTTAATTCTGTGCCTCACAAAAATATCATGTTTGGAGAATATGGCAATCATGCTTGGATCAAGAAGCGCAAGCGTGCTGGATGGCAGTGTACGCTTAATAGTATCCCTCCTGCCAAAATGACCGTGCCGTCATTGGTCAGTACCAACGCTCGCTCTTTGTTCGCAAAGATATCGCATTTAACTTCTTTACTGAACACACGCATACATTCCAACGTGTCGTATGCATACAAGAAACCTGGTTAAATCAAAACGTTGAGGATGCTCTCGTGCAGATAGATCGTTTCGACTGTTACCGGTAAGATAGACAACGGAGCAGGGAGAAAACTGGAGGCCATGTGGCAACGTACATCAACACTTCTTGCTGTGGAAAGTCTAAAGTGATTTTCAGCTGTTTTGAAAAATCCATTGACTGTTTATCCGTTTGTTGTCATCCCAGATTCTCCCGAAATAAAAGTATAATTATTATGTACGTGTATATACCTCCTTCGTGCTCCCAATCAGATATGTCTTGTCTTTGATCATTACATTCCGTTTTTGGTTCCAATATTAGATGAGAATCTTCATTTGGCTGTTGGTGACTTCAACCGTGCAAGCACTTTCCCTCTGCTTTTTTTGGCTTGTCTGATTTGTCTCATTCTCCTACCAGATGTTGCCGTATACTGGACCGGGTAATCACAAACCATCCCACTTTGTTTTCACTCAAACTAATGGCCCCCAGTCGCTACCAGTGATCATTGTGTTCTCCTCTTACGACCAAAGATATACTCCCGCTCTGCATATCTAAAATTCATACCATCAAACCAGATAAGGTTTCATCTCCGTAACTTTTCCTCAACCCGCATTTCTCTTCTCTGTCGTTCCTTAACGGTTGCCCAATCTTGGTTTGCTTCTTGTTCATCACTTCTTAACTGTGTCAGTCTTTTCACCGAAACGATGAAATCGATTTTCTATTTTTGCTGTCCCAGGGAAACGCTGTTTGTCTGCAACGGCGAAATTGCATCTCCTCGCTTAAACTCACTACGAAGGCAGAAGGAACGATCCAAAAAATCTCACTATTCATCTGCTGTGAAGTACTATTCTAACTTAATTAAGGCTGAGATTACACATTTAAACAAGACGTTCGCTTCCCAAATTCTGCATACGAAAAACACAAGGTTTCTGTGGCAAGGAATTCGTCTTCTCTGCGGACAAAAAAGGAAAAACGTGAACAGTGATGTTGACGTAAATAGCCTTAACGCTGCATTTCTTTATCCGTCTAACGATACCCAGGTACCCTCTTTCCTATGTGAGGCTTCCTATTCTGATCTGTTCCCTTTTTCTAGTGATGAAATTTTTAAGCTTCTACGTTCCTTCAAAGCATTGTCATCTGCGGGCTCTGATGGTCTTTCTCCAGCGTTTCTCAAGTTTGGAGTAGCCCCTCTAACTAGTATGATGACATCCCTCATTAAAGAGTCTCTTTCTGCACAGATGATCCCCGATTCCTGGCGACTAGTGACCATAATATCTGTTCCAAAGACCGCATCCTCAACCGTTGTTGCAAAACGTTTTCGTTCCATCGCATTGAAATCTGTAGTCCCAAAGTTGACTGAGAAAGCCATCCTGAGTCGCTTACAGTCATTTGTCACCATTCCCTATGATCCTCTTCAGTTCGCGTATAAACCCAACAGATCCACTTTGGATGCTGTTTATTCTGATCCATTTTATAAGCAAGTCATTGAACAATTCTGTCAAATCTGTTCGTTGTGTTTTTCCCGATTATTCGTCTGCTTCTGATTCTGTATCCCGGTCATCCCTCTTTTTTAAGCTTAAATCTTTTGACACCCCGAGACAGCTGCTTTCATGGCTTTCTGAGTATTTCACTGAAAGAACCCAGTGCACAAAGCTGGACAGGAATACCTCAGGTCCTCTAGTCAATAATTCTGGTATGCTTCAAGGTGCTGTCCTCTCTTCGTATCTTTTCTCTGCTTTCATTAGTGATCTTTCAGCTCCACAGCATGCTCATATCCAAAAGTATGCTGACGATGTCGCTTTATGTCTGACCGTTTCTTCTTCTTCGGAGTTTTCTTCCTTCACTGAAAATCTGTCCCGAATCGAATAGTTTTCAAACCAGTCTGGCCTTAATCTTAACATATTCAAGTGCTTGGAGTGCATTGTTTGTTCTCCTCGCTCTACATTCCCGTCAGACCCTTAATGGTAACCTTTTGTTCAGAGTAACCTCAGCCAAATATCTGGGTGTTACTATCGATAATAATCTTCGGTGGTCGACACACATTCAGAACGGTATGGGAAAACTTTGGCGCCTCTCCTTTCAGCTCCGAAAGCTCAGACAATTTCGCACTACCCAACAAGTTTTGTTCCCTTTTGTTAAACAATGCGTTCTCCCTATTTTACTTTACTGCTCCCGTGTAGTGTTTCCCGGTCTATTGAAACAAGACTTTAAAACTGTCCGTCGTGGATTAATGATAATAAGCCGTGCATCTTTAATTTCTGCCGATTCATTAATCACAAAACTTATTAATGGCTATATGAAGTCTTGTATGACCTTTGCCAATAAGATTCTAAACGACCCCACTCATCCTTTGCATTTGACTTATCTTCTTGTCGCTCCCACTCGATCACTCGTACATCTTATCGGCACGTACCCTCTAGAATAAACATTTATAAAAACTCCACTGTACCGTATCTGGCTCGCATCCTGACCAACAAGGAACGAGTTATAAACGAATTACGTCAATCTTTAATTAGATGAATCAAACTTTAGAGACATTTACATTTCTTTACACAGCACTCTATTGAATTTGTTTATACTTCTATATTTTCTCCAGTGTGACGACCAGTGTACAATTTTTAACTGAAATGTAAGCATATCTCAGTTTGCACAGGTTATACAAATACAAATACAAAATAAAAATAAAAATACAGGTAAAAGTGTAGAGGTATGCTACCTTGACTTCAGTAAAGTGTTCGACTCTGTAAATCATCGCCTACTATTTATCAAGTTGAAAGCGGTCGGCATAGAGGAGCAGATGTATAGCTGGAAATTTGACTCCTCAAGTGGGCGATCTCACTACGTAAGGGTAGGTAGTTCCAACTCCAGTCTGAGGAACATCAATAGTGCAGTACCTCAGGGATCGGTACTGGGACCCATCTTATTCTTACTGTTTACAAATCGCTTAGCCGTAACGCTCCAGTCACCTGGCGTTTTCTTCGCGGACGATGTAAAAGTCATAAGATCAGAGGGGCAAGAGGATCGGGCGGGGGATATTGCTTCAGTCCTAGGCTGGGTGTTCAAGGGGAACTTGCCGCTGAATACTGGCAAAAGCTAACTGCTATCACGAGCCGTAGGGGGTATCACAGTTGACCATGGAGGCGGCGGAAAATGTCAAATACCGAGGAATCTTGGTAACCGCTGATCTTAGGTGGTCGAATCAATGTACTAGAGCGGCACAGAAAGCTAAGGGTGGATTATTTAGACTAAGTTCAGCGTTTTCATGCCGTGAACCTGAGGTATTCATACCTCTGTATACGACCATAGTAGGGCCCCACCTAAAGTATTGTGTCCAGGCCTAGTCACCCTTCTTCAAAAAGGATGCCACCTGTTTGGAACGGGCTCAACGGCTGGCAACTAGAATAGTTGAGGGTCAGCAGGGCAAAGAATACAGGCAAAGGACCTGGGAATATTCTCCTTATAAAAGAGAAGGCTCAGAGGAACATTTATGATAACGAAAGGTTTATCTGGTATTATACCAGAAACCCTGTTTCATGAAGCACTAGTTTCCCGTAAAAGGGGACACAAAATGAAGCTTACCAAGGCCCTGTATCGATTGATCGCCCGGTCACACTCCTTTAGAAACAGGGTAGTCAAAATTTGGAACAGATTACCTGTAGAGTTAGTAGAACTGCAGACTGTGCTAGCATTCATGACGGCCCTGGACGAACGGTGGTCTGAACTTGTTCTTGAAGTGGAGGTATGACCATCCATCTAGGGGCTTAAGAAAACCAGTAGTAGGAGCGGTACACTCAGATTGCATGTTACGTAGCACGGAAGTGCACTAGCAATCGTACGCTGGGATCTCATGTTACTGAGATGCAGTGAGAAGGTTACAGAAGTAGCGGTTTCTTTAATGAAAGAAATTAGTTGAACTAAATATTACGTAAATATAAATATCATTGGTCAAGTGAGCATCAATCCATCATGGCTCTTGTTCTTCCAGTCGCACGGTCTCTGTTTGAAAGGTATGACTCTTGATTGATCGATAATGTTGGTTCATGACTCGATGTCCAGAAACCGACACCTGACTTACCAGAACTCTCCGCAAAATATATGCCATTTGACTTCCTATTCTGATAGGTCTTCGTGGTGCCAGCAGGACCTTCTCTTCAAAAGGCATTCTAGAAGCATTTATGAGCTAATTTATGATCTTCGTACCTGGTAACGCCGGATTGTCGGAATCCTTGCTCGGACTGACTGGCTCCTTGGAATTAGTCTGGTATGTTTGGCGTCGATGATCTGCAGTATCTGTCTTCGAGTTGAAAGAACTTAATTGGGAATCGCGATCTTCGCAATTCGGGCACTCCATGTCAACTTTCGTGAATACTGATGTGCGCCGAGTTTGTGTGCTACCTTGCGAAATTTTTTTTATCTCCAATAGAGTCTTAGGGCTTTCCAATTCAACAGCACCGATCGAAAAAGAGTAATGTGGGGTTGCGATTCATTGTTGGTAACCCTCAACTTTCCATCTAGAAGGTTGTACGCACAAACTTATATGGGAAAAAATAATGGAAATATTTTCGATAAGTAGCCGGCGTTGGTTATGAACGGTTGGTAGTTTGTAGGACTGCAGGAGCACCGATTGGTTTAACTCACTATGGTGTTCACCCCCTTTGGGGCCTACGATTGACTGATACGTTTATCATGCTTGCCTAAGACCAGATTGCTTGGTCGATTGGTTGACTGTTGAATGCCAGCTTGACTGGCTACATATTCACGGTCTATGATAACCGTGTTGCTTAATTTACTGTGTGAATATTTGTCTACTCATGGTGTTAGATACTGTTCACTTGTGAGTAGTAGGTAACTTTCTATGATCAAAAATATAACAAGATCACCGACGGTCAAGTGACGTGTCTGAAGGAATAACTACCGATTGCCCTGTGCATTATTCGATGAGCCGCCAGGAATGGCGATGGTATGTTTCTAATGAAATGTTTTGTGTTACGTATAGCAAATTGGTGATATCCTATTGGAAATCCTCAATAAACGATTATCCTCGACCAGTACCGCCTTTTGAAATTATAACACTTCGTCTTGGGCACAACAACGCCCAGGATCGATCGATTGCTGTTGGCGACCAGGAAGTTAATAAGAATGGAGCAGCTCTTAGCTGACTGAACCCTAACAGACATTTACCCCATGACCAATTTGACTAGCAATTCCGCGAATCTGTATAGACATGAGACGAAATGGGACAGATGTATCGGATAAGTTCAACAGAGATGATAGATTCGGTATTCCTTATGTCTACCCTAAATTT